TTCTCAGCTGCCAACTGCAAGGTCAGCTGCTCGAATCCACCAGATAAAGAGACAGCAGGTCTGCTTATACACAGAGTCACAGGCTTGGAAACCCTGTGGGGCAGTTCTACTGTCATACTATAGGCTGGCTATGAGTCGAATCCAAGCAACAGCAATGGGCTAAGATGTATGCACAGGGCCCAGTACACAGCAGCAGCTTAGGAAGCACAAAATCCTTTTCTGAACACTGGATGGTCAAGTACCTTTCCCCCAGTACCTGGGCCAGGGCCCCACCCCTCACAAGCACCCCAACAAACGTGAAGAGGGTATAAAAAAGGGTGTGGTCACCTGACACAGCCGGGGCCAACTCTTTGGCACTGCAGCCAGGTAGGTTAACGATGGCTGAGGCAGCTTCGTACACCACCATCTCGTGTTTGTTGCGCAGGCAGCTCTCGATGAAGTCAAACAGCGGGCTGTCGTGGCTACAAACAAACACGGGTAGGGAGGTGGGCTGGGCCAGCCACACGTAATGGGAGGATGGCGGCCTCATCTTCCAGGGAAAGGCAGGCCCCTTACCTGCCATCCTCCTCCTCCAGTTGCTTGCTGGCCACCCGGATCATCATGCAGTAAGCAAAGGGGGACTTGAGGCCATGCCTGGTGAACTTGCTGATCATCTTACTGACAGCGAGGCGGTCATTCTTGCGCACATGGTACAGAAGCCCCAGTGCGTGGTACTAGAAGGCAGGGCAGCAACAGAGGACAAGGGTGTGAAGCCCAGGTTCCTGCTTCTCTCTCAGAGCCAGCCTCCTCATCTATCACGCGGGCAATCTCCCAAGGGTACTCCAAACATACAACCCCTCGCACAACTGCTTAACAAAGCACACAAATGTGTCTGTAGTTTTAATCCCAACGGCAGAAAGTCCCTGACAAGCAGCAGGAATATAGCTGCAGGTGTGACAACAGAAAGGTGGAAGCTGGGGCCCTGGGCACTGCTATGTGCTGTACAGGTCCGAGCTGGACTCCTGGTACTTAAACCTACCTTAAACCTCCCAACAACCTTAAAGGTAAATGTTCTTATCCCCGTGAACTTGCCCATGGACTCATGGCAGGGGCTGGCAAAGCTAAGTCTGTAACACCAGCAGCCCAGGGGTCTCTTCATCTGAAGAGATACAGTATCCTATGGACAGTTAATTCCTCTGTGCGCTGCTCTTTTCTGTTTCCCTACCAGGTTGGCATTGAAGCTAAGATGTGGCAGCTGTGGGTAGGATCTATGTAGGAAGCTTCTCTAAGGGAAATATGGGTGAGGAGCCTGAAAATAAG